TTGTTCAGCATCTTAGCTGTAGAGGGCAGTGTCACTGGCCCTCATATGTGGGATCCGAACCGGGGCCCTCTGGCACCCCAAGCCAGCTCTTAACCAACGCGCCACTTGGTCGGCCCCTGAAAACTTTTTGAGAGCGCCGAATCCTAATCACTAGACTGAAAACTTTGATAGGAACTCTTGGCCACATCATTGCTGTTAAGTCAGGTGGGCACACAGATTTTACCTGGAGTTTATACTAGTTTCAGCCTATGTGTTTTAGACCTTTTGAAGAATCATTGCAAGGAAATGTCTGAGAAATTGATATCTTTCTTTGTCATGATTGCATTGTTATTTCCCCAGGAAGTCTCTGTAGTCTCAGTATTGTTATACTAAAGACTGGTTAGCCATCTTGCTTACCTCATTCTTTATAGCTTTTAATATCCTCAAAATAGTGAATAATATGTCTAAATTATTAAAGTGGTATAAACATAAGTAGGGGTTGCATGTGTGCATGAAAATTACTATTATAGGACTGCCATATAGAGAAATAGCACCTATGATTCTGCTATGTTTTAAAATTGACTTTTTCAGTGAAGAGACTCTTGACACTAACATTGGCTATTAGTGAGGAATAAATTGTTCTCAATTTTATTCTCTAAAGGATCCAGCATTTGGAGGCAAACATGAAGCTCCATCCTCTCCAATTTCTGGGCAACCATGTGGAGATGATCAAAATGCTTCACCTTCAAAACTTTCAAAGGAAGAGTTGATACAGAGTATGGATCGTGTAGATCGAGAAATTGCAAAAGTAGAACAGCAGATCCTGAAGCTGAAAAAGAAACAAGTAAGTGTTTGATTTCACTGCTTAATATATTCCAAGACTATGTTTATCTCCCTAGAGAAGATAATGTTGAATTTTCCATATTCTTCTTCTTTATATGCCTTGTATATTCTGTGACTTGCTTTTAGTTTCCTTAGTTTCATCCATTAATTTCCTCTGTTGTACTGTCTGATTGTATGGTAATAGATAGCAAAACTTGTTTGTCCGTTCTGTTTTTGATCTTACTACAATAGATGGGTTGTTTATAATTTATTGCTATTCCATACAATGGTAGTGTATTTTTTGTCTCACATGTAAATAGATTTTCTAGGGCATGCACCCAGGAATAGCATTGGTTGGCCAGAGAGTATGCATATCTTTGAGTATACTATTGATAGGTGATACCAAATTTGCTAAAATGGCAGTAGCATTTTACATTCTTACTGGCAGCATGTACGAGTTCCAGTTTGTGCATAGCCTTGTCTTCATTTGATAATTTTTTTCAGTTGGATGTGAAATAGTTCTCACTGTGCTTTTAATTTACATTTCCCTGATTAGGGATTAAACAGAGCTTATTTTCATTTGTTTATGGGTTATTTATGTTTCTTATGTGGATTTTTTGGGGGTCACTTTTAAAATTTTTAGTATTTCCTGAAGTCTTGTCATTTATGTGTATAGCCGATATCTTCCACTTTGTGGCTTGCCATTTTGCTTTTGTGGGGGAGGGGTGTATATTTTTTTCAATTGAGATAAAAAAATTTCACCTACTATAATATTCACCCATTTAAAGTGTACAATTCAGTGGCTTTTGTTGTATTCATAAAGTTGTACAACTATCATCACTATATAATTCCAGAACATTTTTATCACTTCAAAAAGAAACCACATATTTATTAGCCATTACTCTTATTTCCCCCTCCCTCCAGCCCCTGGTAACCACTAATCTCTTTTTTGTCTATATGGATTTGCCTGTTCTGGACATGTCAGATAAATAGAATCATATAATATGTGACCTTTTGTGTCTGGTTTCATTCCTTTTAGCATATTTTCATGCTAAATATTCACCTGTGCTGTATTTTGTATCAGTACTTCATTCCTTTTTTGGCTGAATACAGTTTTATTGCATGGCTATACTAAGTTTCGTTTATTCATTCATTAGTTGATGGACATTTGGATTGTGTTCAATTTTTGGCTGTTATGAATAATGCTGCTATAACATGTACAAAATTTGTGTGTGTAAGAGTGAGATTGCTTCCAGCCTGGAAGGGGGCGTGAGTGAGTGGCAGATCAGGAAAAGAGATGGAAATTTAAATAGAAGATTTTGATATGGATTGTTGATGATACTCAATATGGGCTGTATTTGTCTCCTTTTCCTGTCTCTCCATCTTTGGGCTTAATTTACCAGGATTGTTCAATGTGCTTTTTCTAGACTTGCCTGCATTTTTGCTTTAATATTTTCAAAGGACTAGATCTTTTTGGTGTTGTAGGAGTTTTTTTCCTTTTTTTTTTTTGAAGGATTTATGACTTTTTGATCTTGGTGTTGATGGTTTAGAGTCTTTTCCATTGTGGTTTGATTTTTGTGATCTTTTGGCTAGAATTATATAGATTTCTTTCCTGGAGCTTTTTTCTTCAGCTTCCTCCTCATCATCTTCATCATTATCTTCATCAAATTATAGTTTTTTCTGTGGAACCTTGCTACCACTTCTAGGGGCAGATCACTTCCCAGGTGTACTTGGAAGCTTCACACCCTCCTCCTCTTCATCTTCTTCATCTTCTGACTGTGCACCTTCCTCCACAGCCACTAAGTGGGTCTACTAATACGTACAGGTTCTGAACCACATACATACCACAGGTGGTGGTATTTCAGAGCCGCTAAGGGAAACAACCATTGGCTATACAGATGGTCCAAATTGCCAGTGCTATTTTAACTGGACTGCCTTCATAATTCATTGCCTCTCCTTCAGCAGTGTTTAGTTCATCCTTTGCACCAACCCCTAAACTGACTATTCTTAAAGATAACTGGTTTTTTCATCATTATCCACTTTAAAGCGATAATCTTTGTTGGCCTTTAGTTCGCAACTGAAAAGATAGTTCTGGGACTTGGCTCATGTCCATGTCCACTGAATCTTCTGTATATAGATGGCTCTCACTTTTTCTTTTCTTTCTTTTTTTTTTTTTTTTGGGAGGGTGGGCAGTCAAAAAAAAAAAAAAGTTAAACAATAAAATGAAATTCCAAAAGTAGAGAATACTGAGCAGGGCAGGCCCTACTAGATGTTAANCCCCCGCCCCCCCAAATGGTGTTCTTCTAGTCTAGATTATACTGAATTCAATTATTATGTCATAGGTTTGAAGATAATATTTTATGGATATTCTTCAGCAACTTGAAACTTTCTGCAAATTGAAATCTTGTTATGTCTCTCACTTCTTTACCACCAGCACTCCCACTGCGTCTGAAGAAACTTTTTCCATTAGAATTCGACGTTTAATAGTACTTTATAGTGAGGTATATATTCTTCTGGGATGCAGGGAGAGGGGAAGGAATTATCTTTGAAAGTAAGCATAACTTTTAAATTTATTTCAAAGTCCAACCAGGGATATTATCAGGAAGTTGTACATCATTTAAAAATTTTCAAGTGTTTATTTTCTTTGTATGTATTAGGCCTCAAGAAAGGAGAACTGGATATGAACAGTTTCACCCAGGCCCATCCCCAGTGGATCATGATTCACTGGAATCCAAGCGACCACGTCTGGAGCAGGTTTCTGATTCCCATTTCCAGCGTGTCAGTGCTGCAGTCTTACCTTTAGTGCACACACTGCCAGAAGGGTTGAGATCTGCAGATGCTAAGAAGGTAAATATTTATTCTCTTACCCTGTGGAGTTGTCGGTCTCTAATGTTTATTTAGCCGTATTCGGTACTGCATCTAAAAGAAAGTCCAGTTATGCCGGTTTCTAAAGGTTAGTGCTATAGGAAAGTAAAAATTTTGTTAAACAAAACTAAAAACTACAGACTTACTGTGATAGACTTTGAAAGTCAGTACTTTTGACTTTTTGGTAAATGAAACAAGCTGAGGACTGTTGTAAAGAAAATTGTTATCGAATAACTCTCAAGCATTTGTACGGGCCTGCTGGGCTATAAAATGTGGTCAGAGGTACTCAAGACTACTACAGTTTTTTTGAATTTAAAATCTTCTGAAATTTAGTTGCAAATTATTAACTTGCTACATGGGCAAAAAACACATTTTAGGTAAGGTTTAACTGTGCGTATAATTTTTATAAAGGAAAAACATTTTTTTCTAGTTTATGTAAAAAAATATTCTTTAGAAAACTTCTAAATACAAAGGAAGAAAGTTACCTGAAATTTTGTATCTTGGAGATAACTAATTTTAATATGTTGCTATATTTCATGACATTTCAAATCATGTGTATTGTAAATTTACAAGACGGTTCTATTAAGATAAATTTTTTTTCTCTTGTGTTTATTATTAGCCTTTCTTCAGTAAAATGTATGTTTGTGTTTTATGCTCTTATTTTGTTGCTAAGTTCATCTTTTTTAACTGTGCATTTTGCTTATCCTTAAATTTGCCAGATTAGGAAGTACTTGCTACTTAGTAGGTACTGAATAATATTCATTTTAGAGGGAATTAATTAATTCTTTAAAACTCTTTAACAGTAAAGTGTTAACCCCTTCGTTATCATATGTTATTATCTCTTACCCTTCCCTCTTTTTGTGGTCATATCTCTTTCCCATAGTTTATTTACCTTTATGAGTAATGGCCCTTTCTATCCTGATATCAGATAAAGAAGTACCCACACAGTTTCTTTTTTTCTTTTTTGTTTTTTGTTTTGTTTTGTTTTTTTTAAGCTGAGCCATCCTGCTACCTGTTGGCAGCTCAGTGGCTGCTCAGCTTGGGCTGGACTCGAACCGCTGTTGCTCAGAGCTCAAACTCTTGAGCGAGCTCTTAACCAACTGAGCCACTTGGCCGGCCCTCCCACACAGTTTCTTTGAGTTTTTATGATTGAAAAGTGATTTACAAGATAAAATGTCTGCGATTTATTTTCAGATAGTTCAACCAAAGGAAAAGAAGTAGGTTTGTATGTATGTGTGGAGAGAAAACAAATATTAGTAAAATGGTAACAACTATTTAATCTAGATGAAAGATAAATGAGTATCCATTAAACTCAGCTTTCAACTTCTGTGTAAATTTAAAAATTTTTAAATAATAAGTTGGTTGGGGAAAAGCTCTTTGTGATAAGCTAGAAATGAAATGAGCTAAGCTTCTGGGAGTTTTGAGACCCGCCTCACCAATGAAATACCTGTATTAGATAGTCTGTGTGTTTAAAAGAAGTGTTTTGCGGCATTAAAAAAGTAAAGAAAGAAAAAAATATATTGAATAAAGGTCTTCTTCCATGACTGAATAAATTACCACAAATGTAAAATATAGCTATGGAATTTTTTAGAAGAAAGGGATTTTAAAAGCTAACTCAGGAATTCAAGGATGATTCAACATCCACAAATCAATCAATGTAATACATCACAGTAACAAAATAAAGGATAAAAACCATATGATCATCTTAATAGATGTAGAAAAAGCATTTGTCAAAATTCAGTATCCTTTTATGATGACAACTCTCAACAAAGTGGGTGTAGAAGGAACATATAATAAAGGTTTTGTATGACAAACCCCCAGCTAACATGCTCAGTTGTGAAGAGCTGAAAGTTTTTCCTCTAAGATCAGGACTAAGACAAGGATACCTACTATCACAACTTCTATTCATTGTAGTATTGGAAGTCCTAGCCCCAGCCATCAGACAAGAAAAAGAAATAAAAAGCATCCAAATTGGAAAGGAAGAAGTAGAATTCTCATTATTTTGCAGATGACATGATACTATATGTAGAAGAACCCTAAAGACTCCACCAAAAAAACTGTTAGAACAAATAAATGACTTTAGTAAAGTTTCAGAAACACAGTCAATATATAAAAATTTGTTTGAATTTCTATACATCAATAACAAATAATCAGAAGGAGAAATTAAAACAGTCCCATTTATAATTGCATCAAAAGCAGAAAATATCTAGGAATAACCAAAGAGATGAAAGATCTGTCCTCTGAAAATTATAAGACATTGAGGAATGAAACTGAAGAATATACAAATAAATGGAAAGATGTACCTTGCTAATGGATTGGAAGGATTATTGTTAAAATGCCCTTGTTACCTATAGCAATATACACATTCAGTGCAGTCCCTATTAAATCACCAGTAGCATTCTTTTCAGAATTGGAACAACTGTAGTCCTATGAACTATGCTTATTCTAGGCTTTCTGTTGCCTAAAGAAAGCTAGTACCTTAATCTAAACTTTATCTGCTTTACAGCTTTATTTGCTTATATTTTCACCTTAGACTGGAAATTAATAGTGTGTGTGTGTGTGTGTGTGTGTGTGTGTGTTGATGGGGAGGTAAAACTTGGGTGGAGGGGCTTTTGTTCTGCTACAGTTGATGAATTTAAAGTGGAATGGGATGATATATTTGGAGAGAGTGTTCTCATGTTATGTGTGCTATAGTGTGGGCAAGTTTAGTTGTCCTTTATGAGGGTAGGTCTAGGAGGTGATAGGAGCAACAGAAGTTCCTAGGTCATTTCTCTGACTTTTGTACATCAGTATTGGCCCTTGGGAAGACTGAAAACTTTTTTTTTTTTTTTT